AATTAGATGATTTATCATTAAGCGATCATTTCTATGGCTATTTTGAAATTTCTTATGATTTCTTCATTGATTCATCTCCACAAAGAAAATATAAATTGGAAAAAATAGACTGGTTATCTCTGAAAGAAAATCTTGGAAATTATTTCTCAAGCATAAATAGCAATATATCAAAGATACGGTTAATCTATATGAACTCGAAAGATACAAGAAATTTGCGAAAACGCAATTAAAGCTAAGGGTAAAGTTTTAAATACCCAGCATAAAGGTTCATAATGCGGAAAAGAATTTTAGCAGAAAGAAAGAGATACCAAAGATGCACTCAAGATGAAGAGTTATGGGCTACTTATAAACAAATCTATAAAAAGGACTTAGCAAAATACAAAAGGGAATTACTAAGAACTAAAAGAAATTCTTGGAAGATTCACCTCAAAAATATTGATCCAAAATTGCCTTTTGGCATTCATTATGACTTTGCACGAGGTAATATCACTTTACCTGTACAAATTAAAGCGTTACAAAAACAGGATAAATCTAAAACTCAATCCATTGAAGAAACGATAAAACTTCTCCTAGAAATATCATTTCTCGAAAGATAACAGAATCAATGACTCTCATGAGCATGTTTCAATCAGAAACCAATTCCAAAGTCGCTACGGAGCAAAACAAGACTTCCCATTCACTAGACAGGAAGTAGAATATACAATTAAATCATTAAACTCGGGAAAAGCTCCAGGATTGGATAATCTTCCAAAAGAAATAATCTTAGAAACATTTTATGCAAATCCAAATCTGCATACTGAACTCTTTAATGAGCTCTTAAGATGAGGAATATTTCCTGAATGTTGGAAAATTACAAAGCTTGTTCTTTTCTCAAAAGAATGAAAAAACGCTGAACTTCCAGAAGCCTATAGACCAATCTGTCTGTTAAATACATGGTGTTAAGTTTATGATAAACTGGTACAAACAGGCTAAATTATTACCTATATTCAAACGGCAAACTAAGACAAAAACAATATGGATTTATAGCGGGGGTTTGTTCCACAGATGCAATTAGAGATATTATAAATACAGTCGAAGCTAATAGACAGAATAACTGTTATACAAATATCATCTCCTTGGATATTAAAAGTGCATTTAACAATATCTGGTGGCCTTTCCTGCTGAATGAATTACGATTTCTTCAATGTCCAATTAATATTTATAAAGTTATCGAATCTATGTTGGACAACCGTCAAATTGTCTACGAAATCAATAATGAACAATTCTATCATGCCCAGGAAAAGGGATGTGTTCAGGGTTCAAACTCTGGACTCCTCTTTTGGAATGTCGTGATGAGCACAGCATTGAGAATCGATTATGGAGAAGGAGTTCAAGTTCAAGCCTACGCTGATGATGTTTTGATCATAGTCACAGGCTCTACTCATCAGCAAATCCAAAATAGAGCACATTATAAACTCTCAGAATGGGCAATCATAAGCAAGCTCAGCTTCTCACCAGAAAAATCTAGCTCAATGTTTATTACAACCAAAAAAAGAGGCTCTGCATACTCTGCCCCAACAATAAAATTGGATGGCATTACCATCAAATGTCAAAAGCAAATAAAATATCTTGGAGTCATAATAGATGAGTGCCTAACATGGCTTCCCCATCTGGATTATATCAAAGGTATGTAAAATTATTAATAGCCTTATGAAATTACCTGGTCTGTCCAAAGCTGTGATCAAAGAATTATATAAACGAGCAATCGAAAGAACAGCAGTTTATGCATGTGCAACTTGGTGGTATCCGCCTACAGTAAAAATGTGAAATAAGGCTAATACTATTCAAAGGGTGGCCTTACTAGCAATGACTAAAAGCTATAAGACAGTCCCAATATCGGCACCGCAAATTTTGGCAGGTCTAATCCCACTGGACATTAAATTAGACCAGGAAAGTGCCATTCAAAGAACCAAAAGAGGATGGTCAGACTTCTCCTTTGAAGATATTAACTTTCCTAAAAAAATCTTGACTATCAGCTGAGTAAATGGTAACTACCCAGCGTACTCACCCAGCGAGAATAAAGACTTATGAATGGGACGACCATCTCCCTCTTAATAAAGATCTTGAATTATTTACAGATGGGTCAAAAAATGATGAAGGTACAGGAGCTGGATCCTGTGTCTATTGGAATGGCATCTTGCAAGAAGAGAAATCTTATAAACTAGACAAAAATTGTTCCGTTTATCAAGCGGAAACACAAGCGTTGAAGTCAGCTTTATTATGGTTAAGAACACATAAGAAAAGAGCACAGATCTACACGGACAATCAAGCAGTACTAAAATCTTTGCCAAAATTTGATATATTAAATCCAGAAATTATAGAAGTTTAAAAGCTCCTATTTATTACCAAAGCAAAATTACATTGGATACGTGGTCACTGTGGTTACCGTGGTAACAAGAAAGCGGATAAACTTGCAAAGAATGGAATTTTATCTTCTAATCACATTAACTGCAAAATCCCTATTAAAGCCAAAGAGAAAGCTCTCGTTTTGTAGCAACGTTGATGGCAAGACAAAGATACAGGCAGATCTACTTTTAAGATTCTTCCTAAAGTATCAGAAAGAAGACACTTCAACGACTTCTTTATCAATCAGATCCTATCAAATCACGGAGCCTTTCCCTATTACTTCAACAGATGTAAGATAAAAGAATCACAATGTCGATGTTCTTGCAGATTAGATTCTGCAGATGCGCTTCATATGATAATAGACTGCCCCAGCTTGGACAGAAAATGCAGAGAACTATTTCCACAAAGTTTGAACTTCTACTTATTTTGTAAACTTGTTGTATTAGAAAGGTCAATCTCAACTATCAAAACTCAGGAAATTTCTGTATGTCAATGAAAATACAATTTATTTTTCATCATAATACTTATAGGTATAAAATGTTTGTGCATGATGTATCATATTTCTGGTGAGATTAAAAGCGTTAAAATATGTAACCTTGGAAAATATATATTATTGCTTTATACCATTAAACTTTTACTTGATAATGTTATCTCATTTTTGATTGTAGTCTTTAATTAATATCTTACTGTATTATAGATCTGATTAATGTAAAACTTGTATTTAATTTTAATAAATATGTTAGTGAGGCCAACACATCCTATAGTCAGAGGACTTCAAAATTTATCACTAGGATTCTAAATTTTCTCTAAATTCTGTTGTTATTCTTTAGCTTTTGCTGGATAATTAGTTAGCTTTTTGGCCTATGGCCTCAATGCAGAGTTAGCAAAAATTACCTCTCACCTCAATGCAGAGGTTGAGGTGAGATCCGGATACTCCACTTTCATGTTGTATATATGTATAGATCACACATTTTTCTCAACAAATTTTTTGTTTCTTACAGAATATTCATTTTTATTATTGTTTATGAATAATACGGTACCTCTGAGCAGCAAAACTAGTCGAACAAATATTTTCTGCCAATTTACAGTCACAGTGAGTTGGAGACTTTCTGTGACACTGCAGATAATCAGAATGTGTCAAAATGATAACATCTGAAGAAGATTCAGAATTAGGCAATTTATTATATTTATTTTATTACCTATTTAAGTATGTACTACCTATTAGTACAAACACCTTGTGGTAGTTTGAAGAAATAGAATCATTTACAGAAGAAATAAAATCATGACTTTAAAAAATATACCCTTGCATATTATTACACATATTTCTAATATATACTAAAATTTCTAAAATATACTATACACATATTCCTAAAAATAAATTAATTAAGCTACTTACAGGTTAAGTTTTTGTTTCTGCTCTGATGGAAATTTTGTGGTGATCATTTTTGAAGAAGATTTAAATATTATTTCCATAAGTGATTTTTACTGCAAATTATTGAGCCCTACAGAAACTTCTTTACAATTTTTTCCATTAAATGCAAAATCTCACAAGTGCACATTTTAAAACTAAGTTCAAGACAAAAAATATCACAAATTTTTTGTAAAAGCCCTTGAAACACAACAAAAGAAACACATACAAATATAGTGACATTGCTTGCTAAAACTGGTGAATTTTTATACTCTCATGGTTGCCAGTGTTTGGCACATGAAATTCGCTGACTTTGATGCTTGTGCTAATACATAAGTGCCTTTAAGTAAATAAAAGTTTTTCTATTTTTTCTACAGCTTTCATAAACTTATTTTTGTTTTTATTATTCCAACTGCAACTTAATTTCAGATACATTTTTTATTACTTTTTATTTCCCTTTTTAAAATTCCACTGCAGTTTAAATGTGGATTACAAAACTTATTATAATACGATGGCTCAGAATACTTAATGAAATCTAAATATAAATTAATGTTTATTATAGTATATCAATAAAACAATAAAATATTAGAAGCAATTATTATTATTTCATTTTTAGGTCATTAAACAATAAATCTTAATTGCTAGTTAATTATCTTAATTTGTGAAAATTTAACTGCATTCTTATTTTTATTCAAAAATTTCATTAAGAAATAAATCAAAAATAACTATATAGCTCAACCTAATTCTTTATAATAAATTTTATAAATATTTTTTTTTTTTTTAATTTATTCTTCAATATGCCTCACATACCAAAGATAATTGGAAGAGAAGTATATATATATATATTTTTATACTATATATAAATATATATTTCATATAAATTTCAAAATTTGTGAAAATTTAACAGCATTCTTATTTTTATTCAAAATTTCATTAAGAAATAAACTGAAAATAACTTACATAATTCAACCTATTCCTTATAATAAATTTTATAAATACCACCAGAATATATACTTTAATTTATCCTTTAATATGACTCACGTACTAAAAAAATATTTTCATATAAATTTCACTGGAACCACTAAGCTCCTTCTTTTATACCTAATAAATAATATCTTGCAAAAAAAGTAGATTAAAGCACTTCATTAAATGCCGGTTTCAGACATCACAAAATACTATTAAAGTTAAAAATCCTTTAAATATCTACCTTAAACTGATTAGTTATGTTGAAGAATATGTTGCATTTACATTGTGCAGCTCCAGTTTTAAGTGCTTCATCACAAGTTATGCCTAATTCTGGACTTTTACAAAGTGTATATTCAATTTGCAGTTCTTGTACCTGGAAGATCAGAGTGGGGGAAAAAAATTAAATAACTGGAAAATTACATTAAATACATTCATTATTTTACATAAAGAAATAAAATATAAAAAAAGCTACATAACTTTGTTTTAAAATGAAATTGACATGGGGGGGGATCAATGAAACAAGTCTCATTCTTAAATAGATGTAATTTTGAAATCAGAAAAGTTTTTGGATTAATCAATATATGGAAAAGTTTCTTTCACAATTATCAAGTTCATTATGCTAAAATAAACATAATAAATGAGCATAATAAATAAACATAATAATGAGATTATATTGCAATTGATTTGGATTAAACATCTACAGATGCATAATAATAAAGAACAGCAAAGGAGGGAAAACTTACTTTTTTAACAAGTACAATAATCATACAAAATAATTCAGCTAATTTTATGTTATTGTAAGTACATTACCCCCCTACTATTTATCAATCCATTATTCAGTGATCATTGAAATTATTACCACAGGTTTACACAGACTACAACAAAACTTGTCACTAATCTACGCATGAAACAACATTGTTACAACTTTGAAAATAAGCATTTAGGACACACTTTGTTTTTTAATTTTAATTAATTGTTAAATGCAATTAAATCCATAAATATACAAAATTTAATCAATAAAAATACTTCTTGTAAATTCACATAAATTCATAAATTAAAATTGTATGCATATTTAATAGAAAATTTTCATTTTTATACACGAGTAGATATGTCACTAAATCTATTAATGTACTGCTGTAGCAAAATTTTTAAATCACATATAATTACAGAAGAAATTAGAATCCACAAACCAGCCACCTTTATGAGGTCTCTGAATTCTGATTTCTATAGGATAATTTAAAAAAAAATTAAAACTCTAGACAGAGACAAGAAATAAGACATATAACCATTAACAAAAATACTTATAATTCATTTATAAATGTATACCAATGTAAAGATTTATAAATAGCATGCTTCACGAGCTTAAGTACTGAATTAAATAATTATTTTCAATAATATGGCTCTTCATTTGCCTGCATGTTTAATTTTTCATTGAAAACAATGATTTCAAGAGTTTATCTACCTAAATTTGGTAGAAATACACTTTTTTTAATAAGAAAAAAATTTCACAGGTTGAAATTCAACAAGATATATTTTTACTACTGCAGAATTTGGAAACATTACATCTTCTTCAAATGGTCCAAAACTGAAATTGAAAGATTGTGTTCAATTTAAAATCAAATTAAAGTTTTTCAATTTTTATAATATCCATTACATCATCTTTTATTCTTCATGCCTTTGAGTAAAGGCATTTAATGAATAAATGCCGTATACAGTTACGTTTTACACTATGACCAACTTTATTTAGTCTGCCTGCTAACTATTTTTGTTGCATCCAGTGCAAAGGGTATCACTTACAGAAACTTCAGATGGAAATTTTGTAAAATATCAATCTTTAAATATTTTAGCCTTTTATGGTGGCATAACTCAAAAACTTTAAAAAGGTTCAGTTTAACAACTCGCAGGAAGCAAATGTTGCACTGGTATCAAAATTAAAGGATAATGACAGAAGTAAAGCATAACCGATACTTAATAAAAAATTATTACAATAATTTCCAGAAGAAAGGCCGCATCAGTGTAAACGCCGCACTCGAGAAAAATGGCGGGAAAAAATTTAAATTACACAGAAATGCTGCAACAGATTAAATTGTGCTTGACATCGTCATAGGCCATATAGATGCAAAATATCGAACCTAAGTCCTGATATATGAAATATCAGTTAAGAAAAATGCATGAAATGAAACCATAACTCAAAAATAAATTAAAGGTAAGAAATGTTGAAAATATATTTACGTTCACATATATACTTATATTTACCCACTAAAGAAGTCCATATTTGTAATACTCAGACTATATTATAAAAAATGTTGCAACAACGAAATATTAAATTTGGATGACAAAAGGAAATTTTAAATTTTACTTACAAAAGGAATTACAGCAAACTATACATCATATGAAGCCATCAAAATCTGATTCTTCATTATCTGAATAAAAAGATTTAGTAAATCCTGAGTCCAAGTCTTCCAGATCGTCACATTCATCCTTTTGGTTTACAGTCTCTTTATCTAAGGATATAATTTCAGCTTCTTTCAACCCTGCTAATTTTGACAATGTTTTTACCGATTTCTACGCACTTCCTACCCACTTTGCAACTTCTTCATAAGATGCTCGCCCACCAGGGGCCGAGCGGTAACGCCGCTGAACACTACAGTCCGAGGTTCGAATCCCACGAACGGGCAGGCTGCATGGGCGTTTTCCCCATGTGTAACGTGTATATGAGCCAGTTTCCCTTAGAAAGTACTCCACGAAGGCATCCCTTCCTTAAGGCAGATAGCCCTCGAGTGCTTTGCCATAATCTAATAAAACCAAACCAATCATAAGATGCTCTATGCATTTTACCGCTTTTGGTATACGTATGCAATTCTTCACTCATCCAACGCTCCTACCGCTTTCAGACTTCAGCTTTGAAGTCTGAAAGTTTTTTGATTTATTACCTGACAAATCTAATGATTGTAAGATTTTTGTCAAACCACCAGGAATTATTTCTGCGGTCGTAGACAATTTTTGACATTCGGTTTTCACTGACTCAAGTAAATGGGCACGCATGGAATCCATTATCAATAACCCTTTTGGTTGGAAAAAAGACCCCTTATGACACTGTCAAATTTTTTGTAGCCACTCATGCATGATTGTTTCGTACATCCAGCCGTTCTCGTTTGCACAAATAATTACGTCATTAAGAAAATCTCCCTTTGGAATAGTCCTTCGTTTAAAAATGATCAACGGCTTTAGCTTGTCACCGTTTGAGGCACAAGCTAACACACATGTAAATGACGTTCTTTCATGCCCCGTCGTAAGCACGGATACAGTTTTTGCACCAGTTTCATCAACAGTTCTGTTTTCAGGAGAGTCGAAAGCTAACAGTGTTTCATCCATATTTATTATCTGTGACTGAAGAAGTTTTTTTTTTTTGTCAATAATATCTGTCACATATTTTAGAAAAGATGCCTTTTTATCCTGTCAGTCCATTGGTAATTGTTGCTCGACTGTTGTTCTAGTACATACAGAAATATTTTTTCTTTGTATAAATCTGCTACACCAGCAAGGCCTTCCTTTGAAATCATTTATGTTAATTTGTTTTGCTATAAATTTTGCTTGCAAGCAAATTTTTACAGTCAAAATTGCCATTCCCTTTCCTCATTGCTCCTTTATCCAGTTTGCAAGGTCGTCCTCTAGATTCGGCCACCTTACAGTACCATTCTTTTGGCTTGTTTCTGTTGTGGCATATTTTTAAGAAGTTCTTTTTAAGTTCTCCAACGTCAAATACATCTCTCGTCCACTTCAAACTCTCAAGCTGCTGTTCTATTTCCAATTTGTTCAGCACGTGAAATTACTTTAAGCTTAAAACCAGCGGTAGAGCTTCTCTGCCATTTAGGTGCCATTTTCAAAAATTTTCCGCTCCCTTCTTACTTAAAAACTATCCAACAAGTACTTGTACCCAAACTGATGGGATCTGTATCTGGCAGAATGCCAAGAAAAATTGATTCATGCTGAAGGGAAAATACGTCAGAGTTCATTATTGGGAGGCAGGTGGAGTCGTGTCCCTCTGTGAAAAAAATTGCAGAAAAGGCAGGGGTGGGGAGAGGATGGGTCCTGGAAGATTCATCGAATGGCAGAGGAGAGAGACTATTCAAACTGATGAGAATGTTGATTTGAAAGGGGGAAGAATGTTATTGTTCTGAGATCCCATTTAGGGTGAATAAGGCACGTAGGTCTGTTCCAAGGGAAAGAATGTAAACAAAATAACATTCGCAAAAAGCAACTGAGTGGTCTTTTGTGTGGGAACAGCACCAGTCTATGTACAATGACAAGGCCATCCAAACTATGTACAATGACCATCATAGGAATCATTTTATTTTTTGTGCACCTAAACGCCACGTGGGTAAAAACGGAACACTTGCGGAAAATTTAAGTTTTAAAGATGTAAACGGCGCGGCGTTTCTTCCGGAAATTACGGTATTAGATATTTCTACAAAAGCATTGGTTAACATAAATTACATTTGGCAGTTGATTATTTGCAAAATATTGAAATTAAAATCAAATTTATGGAAACTGGAAAATGAAGGGAAAATTAGTCACTTCCTGTGAAAAACATTTTCCCTTAATATGGTGCATGGTCACCTCAGACAGATGTGCATACCTCACATTTTGATTTCACACATTTTATCAAAGTGTTAATCAAGTCTTGTGGAATTGCACGCCACTTTACTAAAAGTGCACTGTTGAGCTCCTGAAGAGCATGTTTAGGAATTTGGCACTCTGAAATTCAGCGCCATAAGGCATCAGACATATGCACTATCGGGTTCAAGTCAGTGACAAAGGTGGCCAAGCCATTCAGTGATAATTTCTGTTGCTACTGTTTGTAAGTATTCTGACACCACATATGCTCAATGAGGCCAAGCAGAGTCACCCATTAGAAAAATCTCTGGGCCATCAGCACCCCTAAACAATCTAACTCAGGGTTCCAATACTCGGGGGGGGGGACAGAACTTCCTTGAAATATATGCAACTCGATGTAGCCATTTATCATGATTCTTCCCCAGTACATTAAAACACAGTCTGGAAGGTGGGGGTGAGTGGGACATAAACCATTGGTTCTTCTTGCATACAGTACAACATTGTTAAGCCTTCATGCAGCAGCAGAATGGTTAATTTGAATTCCTGTGGTAGCCTAAAGGTCTAAAACCAAATCTCTTGTAGTCACTTCATGATTTCTTCGACCCAACAATGACAATAAATGGTCTGGTGCAGTTGCTGCTCTTGGTTGCTCTTGACCAGGCTGTCTATCAACTTATCCAGTGCTTAAAAAGTGGCTCCAAACTCTTGATATGACACTCTGAAGGATACTGAAATCTTGATAGACTGTTTGACTTC